TGTTTCCGTACAGAATTTACGTACCCAGTTTATTCAGCAATAACTGTATCAAATGACTTCCACAAAACTGACAAATGTTTCCGCTGGTATAAAGCTTGCTTCCTATTAATCCCATCGAAAATGTCAAGAAAATCCGACATCACATGCACAATTTTCAATTAACAGTTTGAATACAGAAGAGTATGCACGCTCCTTGTAGCAACGTAACATCCAGCTGAAAAAAAAGTTGATTTAATTAGGAGACAACGTTATATCACACACACACACACACACACATATATATATATATATATATATATATATATATATATATATATATATAAAAGTAATTTTTATGTTTATACATTCTTTTTAAAGATACAAATATTTAAGAAAATGCTCTGTTTTATAATAAATAATAATTAATAACATTTACCGGCCTGAATGTTATAAATACTGTTTATTATAAAACAGAGCATTACTTAAATATTTGTATCTATAAAAACACTGTATAAACATAAAATGTCTTAAATAATTGTCGGACTTTGTCCTTTTCATAATATATATATATATATATATATATATATATATATATATATATATATATAAATAAGTTTTTGTTGTACAATAGCAAGACATAAGCGTAATTTAAAAAACATATCAATGTAAATTTATTAAAAAATAATAGACATTTAAATAATTAAATATGACTAATGAAGGGGGAGAAAAAATTTCAAAGAAAACTAGAGACCAATAATATTCAGACCCAGCAAACAATCCCTTTGTTTACAGAGGGAAGGCTTGCGTGATCTGATATATAAGGACTCCAGAACCTTGAGATGATATAAAATGTGGGAACTTGATAGAATAGAAAAACCATCCATACTAAAGTCAGTAATACAAATCCTGCTATTAATAATGGGTTGTGCAATAGATAACCCGATGTATTAACTAGTTGACTATTAGCGGTCGGATTCAAATTCCTGGGAGGTCAATGCTGCTTTATCCTGAAATCCAAAAGCCGAGAAGTCCTTCCTATATAGTCGAGTCCACAACTACATTCATATTTGTAGAGTTTTTCCAAGCGTAGCTTAGATGTTGTAGATGTAACAATTTAATTTTTTAAGTTGAATTAGACAAAGAAACAGCAGTATTCAAAAGTGCTCAACACACATGAAAAAAATAAAAAAATTAACATGAAAAAATCAAATCAGCCAATCACACTACCTTGGTTTCAATCTTCCGGTGACCTTAGGCTATATAGGTCAAATGATTTTATTATTTATATATAAATAATTTACGATTGCCAATTGTTAAATTGGCAACCGTAAATTATCCTACGTTTTTATATATTTTAAATTAATTTACATTTTATTTTTACCAATTTTTAAGGTTTTGTGTGTATCTTCATTCAACTTAGATATTTTGTTTCCGTCTTTTATCCGAAAATCTTGCAACTATTATTATAAAGTATTTTAAAATAACAGATTGACATCATCACGATCTGTGTATGATTACTTTGTACATAAATAATTTTTTAAACTTTTATAAATAGTTTACCAGCAACATTGCCTCTCATTTTTTTTTATTTATAGATTTGAGCATTTTCAATTTCTGTCAGTATTCTTTCTTAACGTTAAAATTTGATTTTTTTTTAACTTTAAAATTTGAGCGTGTGTTGACCAAAGATATACTTTCGGTGGTTAATCTTCTGGCACTGAACGAGTTTTCTAGTCCTATGGACAGGTACATTCCAAACAGAGAAAAAGCCTTGATACAAATAAAATAGTAAAAGACTTGGTACTGATAAAACAGTAAAACTAGTATTCCTGTTTAAATCCATGAAAGCAAACACTGCTCAGATCGAATTTTAAAAGTTGTTAATGGTTAAAATCTTATTTAATAGTAAAAATAAAATACTCAGTTGATTAATAAATATTTGATTCAATATGATTAACAATTTTCTTCCTTATATTATTTCCATTATTCAGACTGTTAATCTCATATTCATTGCCATATTCACAATGTTTCGGCCTTCTTCAGGTGACTTGAATTTCGGACCGAAACCTTTATTTCGTCTAACGAGGTAGATTATTCTAGTTCTACATGTCATGCCTCTTCCGAGTGTCACAGCTATTTCCCTTTAAGTCAACCCTCCAAGTTTTGATTCACCACTGATGTAGCTTGAAACTGAACTCAACATTTTGGGTCTAGTCACGGGATATAACCAACGCCTTTATCCACTGGGTTAAAGGAAGATAACTGAGACATCCGGGAGAGGTATGATACACGGAACTAGAACAATCTACCCTGGTGGACGAAATAAATAGATCGGTTCGAAATTTCAATCAACTGAAGAAGGTCGGAACGTACAACGGCCGAAACGTTGTGAATATGGAAATGAAGATGAGTATAACAATCCGAACAATGTAAATAATGTAAGTAATCATAATACCTCATCTCAGAGATATAGACAGAAATTTTCTTCGTACATAAAATAACATGTAAACAAAATGAAATGTTTTATTTTTAAATATTTTTTTTTATAAAATTGATTTAAATCAGTGATTTCCTTTAAAAAAATGTCATTTGATTTGGTAAGGCGGTAGTAATGGTTTAGGGATATAATTTTACTGATTAACCTATAGATGAGGGAAAAGAGGTAATTTCATGTAAGTGAATATAACGAACTCGATGGGAATTGGAACTCAGTTCACCGCATAACAATTCCGAGCCATTATCAACTACACTACCCGTACTGCTATTCGAAGTATATATATATATATATATATATATATATATATATATATATATATATATATATATATATATATATATATATATATATATAAAGGCTTAAACACTAATATTCCATGGTCATAATTTATTCCATTGGAATCGTAAATACGATCCAATTCATCAGACCTACAAATTCAAAATGAAAACAGAAAAAACAACTCCGGAAATAAAAACAGAATTTAGAGAGAGTGTAAGTATGAGGAGGAGGGAGATTAAACCTTAACAGAGAGAATTTTAGATTGTCTATGGTGTGTGTATGTCACCACGAAATGTATCTTTATGCATTAGACATCCGACAACATTCATTTTTCTCTTACTTAAAACCCTTCCACCCATCTCTCCTAAAATTCTCTCTGTTAAGGTTTAATCTCCCTCCTCCTCATACTTACACTCTCTCTAAATTCTGTTTTTATTTCCGGGGTTGTTTTTTCTGTATTTTTTTTTAATTTGTAGGTCTGATGATTTTACTAAGTCTGCTATTTGTAGGAAAGTTTTTTTCAATTAAGGCTAGGAATTTCTGTCCTAGCTTAATACTAACCATTTGGTTGAACGGAGGGGTATACCAAATGATTTTTCTTCTCCTGTTTTTCTTCTGGTTAGTACAATTGTTTCTATAATTGATGTTAGTATTTTTGTATCCGCTATTTTTTTAGGGCTGCGTTATAAAAATTATTGGGTTGTTAGAATATTTTTTTTTATTAGCGGAGTTAATGCTGATTCTTTTCTCTATTGATGAGGGTATATGCTTAATTATGGGTGGAGGCTGGTTTGACTTAGGGTGTACATACAAGGGGTTAGTGTTAGGTTTTCTATAAGGTAGGTATGTGTTGTTCATTAAATCCAGAGTTACGTCGAGGAAGTTTACCTTTTTAATTTCGTACAGACTGTAGTTTTTAAATTGCGTTTTCTAAATTCACTATATATAATATTTCTAATTTTCTCTATTTTAAAATTAGTGGAACTCCTCACTACCATGAGTCCGTCATCTCTGTACAGCCCGATGTCCTTAATATCTAATTCACGGCGCGCAGTTAGGTTGTACAGTATTAAAAGACCGACAAGGTTAGAAGACTCTGCAGAGTCTAAAGATCCCATAGTGATGTCAAAATGGTTTTTAATCCATTGGTTCCCATTATGAATGAGGATAGATTTTTTGCACTGAGAATTATATTCCTTTGTCAGGTCAGAATACACAGCAGCCAACTCCAGGGCAATCGATATTGACTGGTTGTAATCCACAATATATATATATATATATATATATATATATATATATATATATATATATATATATATATATATATATACTCTCTCGTCAGTTTCGACGTATGAGGATCTGACAACATAATTGATTCAGTTATGAAATTTTGTGCGATAATCTTAAGTGGCACTTACGACCCGCTAGTGATTTAAAAAGGAGGCCACATATGGAGCAAGAGTGAGGATTGTGGGATGAGATCACAATTAAATTAGCTGACCTTTTAAATCTTGCTCTTGCTTCTTGTAGATGATTCACACACACACACACACACACACACACACACACACACACACACACACACATATATATATATATATATATATATATATATATATATAGGGATTTTATTTTTGCAACAGGTATTTATGAACAAAATTAAAAATATCTTTGTTTTAAAATTTTGTAAACCTAAGTACGCTCATAACTATACATTAGGATACCGGTTGCTAAGTGATGTGATTTTATGCCTAATAAATAAAAGTGAGTAATTGATGTTGGTGATATTTTTATAATGTAATTATTATTATATTATTTTACTTAAAGTTTAATCTATATCTTATACATTTTTAGATAATAGATGAATATGAATTTAAGTGTCGTGCTAGACAATCTTTCTCAACAAATTTTATCTTACACATTTTCTAAGCCCACCATTCTTCCCTGCAAATAATATCGTGCCATTAATTTTGTGTCTGGTGCTTTTGCTATGTCTTCAGAGAATCTTGATGAATTACAAAAGAGCATCTATGAAGTTAAACATAAATGAAATGTCGTTCGTTATTTTCTGTGTTTAATTTCAGTTCTTTTATTGTTCTCTTTTCTGAATTTTTATCTTTTTTCCTATTTTCGTTCATACTCCATAAGCCCATGCCTGTTAGCGGCTATATTGCATTGCTTGGGGGTGAAAAGATTAAAAAAAAATGAGGTCGAAGGTCAATATTAATGGGTTGATCGTTGCTTGTTAATCTGCAGAAAGAATATAAGGATCAATAAGGAGGAGTGTTAGTGATAAATTGAAATTTTGTTGTTTATTCACGTGATGAGAGAAGAAAAACAAAAGAAGAATGAAATAGACAGCAGTACCAGGAGGGAAGGAGGAAGGGAGGGAGAAAGAAAGAAAGAAAGAAAGAAAGAAAGAAAGAAAGAAAGAAAGAAAGAAAGGTGGTGTTAAGTTAACATCAGACGCAAAGCAAGACAGAAATGAAAGAAAAAAATGACTAAAATAGCGATAGAAACCTGAAAAATGCTTTGAAAGAAAGAAGAAGTAAAAAGTAACGATAAAGGCGAAGGAAGGAACAAGGAAGAAATCAAAGAAGAAACGAAGGAATTTAGATAAGAATCAAATGATAGAAAATATCAAAAATGAAAAAGAAATCCAAAACAAAGAAAAAAAAATCGAGAAAGGAAATAAATTAAACAAAAAAGCAAATAAAACCAAAAATGACAGAACGCAAAAGCAAAGAAAGGGAAAAAAGAAGAAGAAATAATAATTTAAAAAAAAACCCAAAAAACAAAACATTAAAATAGGTGGGCTGAAAATTCGGCCATAGAATATTATGTTTTGAAAAATTCAATCTAGAACATTCGGTCCAGAAAATTTGATTAAAATTCAATTATTAAGTATGGCCTATTTAAATGACACCTAAAGTTATTTCAAAAGTAAAAGCAAATCTATTTAAAATTTGTAATTTAAAATTAAAATTTTCAAAGATTTTTCGGACGTCATCATTTCTCGCACATAATTTTCTCTGTTTGTAAATTATGATTTTTAATATAAATTAATATAATGGAATTTAATTAATTCATACCCTTTTAATATCGATTTTTGTTTATCATCGATATTTCGTAATCTCTTTCCATTAATTTCCCTTTTTTTAAAGATAGTATTTCCATATTAATTTAGGTGGGCATATTTTTACGTGACCGAACATTTCGTGACCTAATTTTCTGAAACCAACCAGGCAATGAAACAAAGAAAAAACTTCACGACAACGAAAGAAAGAACCAACGAAAGAAGAAAAGAAAGAAGAAAGAAAGAAAAGAAGAAAAGAAATAAGATAGAAGGAAAGAAAAAAAAGAAGAAAGAAAGAAAAAAGAAGAAAGAACAGAATAAAAGAAAGAAGAAACAAAATAAATAAGAAAGAAGAAAAAAGAAGAAAAGAAGAAAAAAGAAAGAAAAGAAAAGAAAGAAGAAAGAAAGGAAAGAAAAAGATAGGAAGATGATGAAGAAAGAAGAAAAGAAAAGAAAGAAAGAAAGAAAGAAAGAAAAGAAGAAAAGAAAAAAGCAGCAAAAGAAAAGAAAGAAAGAAAGAAAACAACCAACAAGGAAAGAAGGAAAGGAAAAACATGTAAGAGAGAAAGAGTAAAGGAACAAATGTAGAAATTAAAATAGTAATGAATGAAAATAAAAATAAGAAAAGGAAAAGAATATAATTTGAAAGAAATGGATTGCCATTTGAAAAAAGCCAATAAACGAATTGAACAAAAAATCATAAAAAACATATTAAAAAAGGTGAAATTTAATAGAAATCTGTAAAAATCAAAGACCAACAGACCTTGTGGTTGAGAGAGTTGCATATTCCCTGAAACGATCATGGACAACAATGATCAATTTTTGAGTCCAAAAAGGTAGATAAATAGAAAGAAAGAAGAAATATAAAGTTGAATGCATTAAAAACACCGAATGAATGTGAAACTAATGAATGAAAAATACCGAAATACAGAAGGAATGAAAAAGTAAAAAAAAAAAAGTAATAAAAATAAGGAAGAAACAAAAAAAATGAAGTATGGGAAAAATGAAAGAAATTAGCCTCAATGAACCAAAAAGAAAATAATAGGAAGCTATATAAATATTTCATGAATAAAAATAAACTGATAAAAAATAGCAGAAGCAACTAAAGAAGGAAGTAAATTAAAAAAGTAATAAAATTATCAAAAATATAATATAAATAATAAAAAAAAACTATGTTGAACGCTGTCTGTTAAGACCAGTTTTTTTTTTCTTAACCTTTCTTACTTCAGAGTGCACTTAAAATTTTAATAAGGAAAAAATAGTCATGAAATTTGAAAATAAAAAATAATGAAGAATTCTCCTAAAATAAATGTTTATTTTTAAAACTTTGCATTGTGCATTTAAGTTTTCATGTGCATGATTTACTTTCCTTTGTTGGTTGCCATTTTACATTTAGCATTCCCATAATAAAGAAAATAATCACTACAGTTTTCATTTAAAGGAATTTATGAAGAATCTGATATTTCCCTTTTAGTGTAGCTGATAATGACTGAGTAAAATCCATTGAGGAAGAGAAAAAGCAGAGGATTAAACATTCCTTAAAGATTAACTAATTTAGCTTTCGGTTTAAAATATCAAAAACTTCATTTAGGCATGGAAAGCCTGTGTTTGATGCCTTTGAAAAGCCTTCAAACCAGAATCGAATCCGACTGATTCGACATCAGCTCGAAGTGTCTCACCCTTACGCTATCAGAATACGCAGTGGAGAAAAGGAATTTTTAACACATTACATACGAAATATAAGCATTACCGGCTAACAGAATGCTCAATTCACAGCGAAAAGTATTTTAGTGTTAATGAGTAGCAGCCGATAAATTCATTTTCTTCCAATGCGCTTAACCTATGAGAGGGAGCGTATATATATATATATATATATATATATATATATATCTGTGTGGGGGGGTGTTATTCTGTGCCAAGACAGAAAACTGGAAAATGGAAGGATGCACACTATTATAAAAGAGAATTACATCCGGGTTTTTCAATTATATTCTATGGTATGTAGCGATTTACCAAGCGAAAGTACTGAAAACTCAGCGAGGATCGAACACAATACGCAGCCGTAATTGATTTTGTTAGCCATTACACTACATCGGTGTGCCCATGTTCCATTATATATATTTATATATATATATATATATATATATATATATATATATATATATATATATATATATATATATATATATATATATATGTGTGTGTGTGTGTGTGTGTATATATAATGAGAAAGGACAGTAAGATTTATATCTGGTGTTCTTATTAATTATTTTATTCTTAAAAAAAACAGTGCTCAATACAATTCTGTAGAGACTAAACATTATGAATTAACTAATTTAAAAATACGGTTCCATCGGTGAAAATGAATTTTTGTATATTATAATAATTTATAATACACAAAAATTCATTTCAACGGCAAAATAAAAATGCCAAAAACCTTTTGGACATTGAAAAAAAAAACCAGACGACATGTGAAAAATGGATGTCATCATTTGTTGAACAAACACCCCTACCCTACCTTAACTTAACCTGATTTTGAAAGTAACTCATATTTTGATACACAGTTTGAAAATGAATACCCTACAACTCCCTATCAAAATGATTGAATATCCGGTAACCTTAGCAACTAACATCAAGATTGTATGTGCTTATAACTCAGTAAATTTCAAAATAAATTATTCCAAAAATCGCTATAAAATTAAACAGTACTAAGGATTTTAATTTAGTTCTATAATTGAATTTAAAGTTTTAGTTTCTGTTTTCGAAACATGGTAATTCCTTTGATGCAATGGACCATATTTTTACATTAGTAAATTTATATATATATATATATATATATATATATATATATATATACACGATGTGGGGCCAAAGTCGGGACCACAGAAGGAAAACACAGAACAGGGATTAGATGTAAGAAAAATATATTAACAACAGGTTACAGAGATAGTGTAAGCAGAGCTTACTATATGTTAGTGTCCAATACTGGTAGTCGTACGCGGCTCTCACTGTCTCTCTATCTTTCTGTCTAGAGTGTTGTGTCGCATGCTTAATATAGACCTGGAAGACTCTATTGTGTAGGTAATTCCGGTCTCACAATAATATATATATATATATATATATATATATATATATATATATATATATATATATATATATAGATAGATAGATAGATAGATAGATAGATAGATAGATAGATATGTGAGAGATCGTGAACTTACGGACACATCTACCCAATTCAACTGTATATTTGAATGTGACATTGTCGTCCGTATATATTGGCCTAAACGTCATAAAGTCATATGGAAGAACTCATTCGATCAGTTGCCATCAAATTATTTATAGAAACTGCAATGTGGAAACTTTACGGCGGAGGGAAATGTGAATGTCGTGACTCCGAAACGTAAGATCAGGACCAATAAGATACCAGATTCTTCTTTGGATTTTATCAATGATCTCTAAATATATAGCAGAAACACCGGGCTATATAAGGCTGCAATATTCAAAGTATGGACGCATGGTAGACCTATAGATATGTAAAATTATCTAGCATGAAACAGTGAATGAACTTTCTTAGCAGCTGACCTAGCAATGGATTCAATATATTCTTTCCATTTCATGTCAGCCGAGGATGATGTCCCGAGAAGTGACAACGAGTCAGTCTCATGGAGGTTAGCATCAGCCATGGTGATGGAAAGCCAGAAGGCGTCTATCAGATGATTAATAAATCTTAGTTTTGTTTTGAGGACGTAAAAATTAAGAAGCCATCCGTGGCCCCAGTTAACGGACAGAAGGCAGTTTTGGACATCAGCCGCCAATTTGACGTTATCGGATTGATCAGACTTACTGTCGAGACAGGAGTAAATAGTTGTGCCATCAGCATAGTTACCATGTTATGAGCTGATGCTATCGTGAAACTCGTTAATGGACAGTTAAAAACAAAGTAGGTCCAAGGATAGAACGCTGAAGTGACACTAGATGATGTAAAACAGTGGATGTTCAGGATAACTTTCATTTGACGATGTGAGAAAAAAGACTGGATCAGGTCAAAGATTTGACGATGTGATCAGAAAGACTGGATCAGTTCAAAGATTTGACGATGTGATCAGAAAGACTGGATCAGGTCAAAGATTTGACGATGCGATCAGAAAGACTGGATCAGGTCAAAGATTTGACGATGTGATAAGAAAGACTGGATCAGTTCAAAGATTTGACGATGTGATCAGAAAGACTGGATCAGGTCAAAGATTTGACGATGTGATCAGAAAGACTGGATCAGGTCAAAGATTTGACGATGTGATAAGAAAGACTGGATCAGTTCAAAGATTTGACGATGTGATAAGAAAGACTGGATCAGTTCAAAGATTTGACGATGTTATAAGAAAGACTGGATCAGGTCAAAGATTTGACCATATGATAAGAAAAACTGGATCAGGTCAAAGATTTGGCCCCCGACTCCGGGAAGACAACCCATATGCCAAAACCTGTGGAAAGCTTTCGTGATGTCCAATGTAACAGTCTGAGCTTCACCATTCTTATGTACAACTTCATACACTCTTGCCACAATTATTGTCAATGCATCAGCAGTTGACCAGGATAAATGAAAGCCATATTGCTTGTCTGAAAGCGGGCTAACAGGCCGAGAGTTGAGAGGGTCAGATGGTTCACGTGAATTCTTAAAACAAGAAGAACAGAAGAGGGTTTCCAACAAGTGGAAAAGCAAGAATCAGAATATTTAAGCAGAAGATTTAGGAGAGGAGAGAATCCATTTCATGAGCATTGCTTAAGGACTATTGCAGCGGTAACATCAAATCCAAATGCTTCGCGGTGATCTAGTTTAGAGATGATAGCTGATGTCAAAGAACGAGTTATATGCTTATCACTCAACAGAGACTCAGTTCTAAGTGTAAAGTCAGATGAGTAGAATTGAAAGAGAATTTACGCACAAAACATTCTGTTTTATCAATAGCAGTCGTAGAGGGTTAATAAGTCGATAGTTGGAAGGGTCGGACGGTTCCTTTTAGGATTTCCAACAAGCATGAAAGCAAGAGGCAGCGTGACATTTATTATACAGTTTAGAGAAAGCAGGAGCCAGTTCGGGAGCTCATTTCTTAAGGACTATTTCAGGGATGCTTTGTGGGGATCCAGAAGCACCAGAGATATATAGAGAAATACTTTAAGTTATTCAACTAGAAAGAGAACAGGTTAAAATTGTTTTTTGTCAGCCCACTTTCTCCCCAAATGAGCAATGGTGAGAGGAAAAAGATTAGTCAGGCCTTCAGTAATATTACCAATATTCATACATAGGCTGCCAACTGCAAAGTCTTTTCAAGAACCATCAAGAAAACAGTTAATAAATTAAAAAAAAAAACGCTAAAAGTAGGGAGGAAAATTGGATGAGGAGTTCAGAAAGGAAGAGAGATCAACATTTCAACTTAGAGCTAAATGTATTCTTATTTTTTTTCAAAATAGAGTCCAATCGTTTTATAAAAACCTCTGAGAATTCCAGTAAGAATTTTGCTGTTATGTCTCCCAGGATTGTTTGTAGATATCAAA